CGCCCCCTGGTTCCTGCAGGGATCCGCAACACGGTGGACAACTGTCCCAGGGTTCCCAACTCAGACCAGAAGGACAGTGATGGCGATAGCGTAGGGGATGCCTGTGACAACTGTCCCCAGAAGGACAACCCCGACCAGGTGAGAGTAGGCTGGCCCTTGATCCTGGCTGAGCCCCAGCTGGGGGTTGGGGACCCCAACCCAGTATGGAGTATCTACCTGCCCTTTGGACCCACATCCTCCCAGCCCAAGATGCCTGGGGGTCCTTGGGATCAGCAGGACCTTGCTGTAGAGCTGGGGGATGGGTGTCATCTGAGCCTCTACCCTGATCTGACCGTGGTCTCTGTTCCTGCACCTTCTCCTACCCCAGGGGGATGTGGACCATGACTTCGTGGGAGATGCATGTGACAGCGACCAGGACCAGTAAGGAAGGCCCCTGAGAAGGCTTCTGGGCAGCCCTGGTGAGTCTTTCTGGGTGTCTCATTGTTGCCTTGTCCCCCACCCATTCTAGAGATGGGGACGGGCACCAGGACTCTCGGGACAACTGCCCCACAGTGCCCAACAGTGCCCAGGAGGACTCAGACCATGACGGCCAGGGCGATGCCTGTGATGAGGATGATGACAATGACGGCATCCCTGATAGTCGGGACAACTGCCGTTTGGTGCCCAACCGGGACCAGGAGGACATAGATAGTATGACAAGGGCAGGGCATGGGGCTGTGGAGCCAGTGCCGGCTGTGGGTGGGCAGTGTGGGGTGGGTGTGGAGGGAGGGACTCAAGGTGGGGGGACTTTGAGAGCTGAGCCCACTGGGGGATTGCCTCTTACTTCCTCTTAGGGGACGGTGTGGGCGACAAGTGCCAGGGTGACTTTGATGCTGACCAGGTGGTAGACCAGATTGACGTGTGTCCAGAGAACGCAGAGGTCACTCTCACCGACTTCCGGGCCTTCCAGACAGTTGTGCTGGACCCTGAGGGGGATGCACAGATTGACCCCAACTGGGTGGTGCTCAATCAGGTGGGGGCCAGGCTCAGACGGGGTGGGCAAGTGGGGGCTGCATAGGGCCTCCACAGTGGGTCTGAGCTGGGAACAGGAAAAGTAGGGCATCCATGGCTGACCCGAGCTCTTCTCTTCCACATCAGGGGATGGAGATTGTGCAAACGATGAACAGTGATCCTGGCCTGGCTGTGGGTGCGTGCAAGGGGTGGGCCCCTGGAGGGGCTTCCGGTGGGCAGGAGCAGTTGCTCTGGGGGCGTGGCCCTCTGTGGGTGGGGCCAGGGCGGGATAGGGCCTACACCACTGCTGTGCCATGAACAGGCTACACAGCCTTCAACGGGGTGGACTTCGAGGGCACATTCCACGTGAACACGGCTACGGACGACGATTACGCGGGCTTCATCTTCGGCTACCAGGACAGCTCAAGCTTCTACGTGGTCATGTGGAAGCAGATGGAGCAGACGTACTGGCAGGCCAACCCCTTCCGTGCTGTGGCTGAGCCTGGCATTCAGCTCAAGGTGCCTGCGCCAGCCCTGAGGCCTCTGCAGCCCCCAGCCCTACATCACTGTGCTGACCTCATCTGGTTCTAAATCCCCCTGCTCTAATTCCTGAGGCCACAGCCTGGTCTCTGGAGTCCTCCTGGGGCTCCAGGCCATCCAGCAGACACCTGGCCCCGCCCCCGGCCTCAGAAGCTCTCTGGGCCCAGGAAGGCGGCTTGAGGGACTACCGCCCCACAGCGGCCCCCCCCCCCCCCCCCCCCCCCCCCCCCCCCCCGCCAGCCCAGGGCCTGCAGGGTTCTGCGCTCTGACGCCTGTTCCCTGTACTACCTCAGGCAGTGAAGTCCTCCACAGGACCCGGGGAGCAGCTGCGGAATGCGCTGTGGCACACGGGAGACACGGCATCGCAGGTCCAGCTGCTCTGGAAAGACCCACGCAATGTGGGCTGGAAGGACAAGACGTCCTATCGCTGGTTCCTGCAGCACCGGCCTCAAGTGGGCTACATCAGGTGGGGCTGGCACTCTGGCCAAGGGCTGGGGGTGCCCTGCCCTCCCTAGCTCCAGGGCCCTTTTTCTGTCAAATGGAAATGCTGGTGCACACTCGGGGAGGCTGAGGCAGGAGCATCCCAAGTTCAGATGCAGCCTGGGGACTTCACGACTTCATGAGACCTTGTCTAGAGCAGCGGGAAGCACTGAGCATATAGCTGAAGGTGGCAGCCCAGAGTTCAGTCCTCATCACCAAAACTCAAAACAAACAAAAATCAAACTTGTGTGGCCCCGGGCACGTGTGCTGAGGGGAACCCAGTTAGAACTTGATCCCTCAGCCACGATGCTAGGGTGTCTTGGCTTACTGCACAGCACCTACTGTGTGCAGGGCCCTTTGTATGCATTCTCATGAGGACACTGAGGCCCAGGTCAGGGCTCCCAGGGCTCTGATGCCACCTGGAGGGGCAAAGGGGCCCTCTTCCTGTCTGCAGAGGCTCTGAAAGGGAAGGGCCAGGTAGGACCCTACCTCAAGTGTCCCCTGCCCACAGGGTGCGGTTCTACGAGGGCCCCGAGCTGGTGGCTGACAGCAACGTGATCCTGGACACAACCATGCGGGGTGGGCGTCTGGGCGTCTTCTGCTTCTCCCAGGAGAACATCATCTGGGCCAACCTGCGTTACCGCTGCAATGGTGAGTGGGGTTGGTGGGTGGGAGGGGGGACGGGGTCCCCAGGCCCAAGCAGACCTTCACCCGGCCACCCTCCCTCCCTCCCTCCAGACACCATTCCTGAAGACTATGAGATCCAGCGGCTGCAGAGGGCCTAGGGACCAGGCTGGGGACCTGCTGCCAACCAAGGACACCCTCACTGCAACTGGGCTGGAGGGCAGGGGAGGGGCCAGGAGGCAATAAAGTGCGCATGTGCGGGACACACTGAGCCTCTGCTGTGGGAGCCTGCCACTAACCCCAGGCCCTTGGCGACCCCAGCTGGCCTGGTACCTCTCCTGCCAACTCCCACTGCAGGACTGGGGCACTGGTCTTCCATCAACACAAGCATAAAGACCCCTTCCCTGGCCTGGCATTAGGGTACAAGGCGGGTTGGTCCTACCTGTGATATCAGGGAACAACTTCGCAAGCCTAGGGCTCAGACTGGAGGGAGGAAGGGAGGGAAGAGGCAGAGACGAAAACGTTGGATTTTTATTACATTTCATTACAAAGGATGCAAAGGTACAAAGACAAAAGCGTCCACGCCAGAGGGCAGGCAGGGGCGGCCGAGAGTGCCCTGAGCCGCCTGCCTCCGGCCTGCCACGGAGCCCGGCCACTGCGGCAGTGCATGCATGCTGACACAGCCAGCGGTCAGGGCTGCGGGGCAGGGCCGGCAGGCAGGCAGCTTGCATATATCTGTGGCACCAGCGCTGGGCAGCTTCCCTGCGGCACATGGGCCTGTGTCCCTGCACTGGGCTGCTGCCAAACTGCACCAGGTCTCCATACCTGGTGTACGCTTCATGAGCTTCAGAACTACCTAATTTGTCTCCACATCCTGGGCCTGGGGTATGGATGCGGAAGCCTGAAGGAAGCTGGAGGGGTGGCGCTTGGGCCCAGCACCCCCCACCATGCCCAGGAAGCACCCAGGGCCCTGAGACCTTCAGGTCTAAGAAAACGACGGGAAGAAACCGAGACTCTGGTCCCAGGAGGCTCACTCCTGACCCTACTGCCTATCTTCCTAGAGGGATGATGGCATCTGTGATAGTGACATACTGCAGGCCACAGGGCAGCTGAGGGCATGGTTGGCTCAGGCTCCAGTGACAGGGAAAGGCCCAGCCATCCTGCAGAAACCCCCGGAGGGCGTGGAGGACCAGGGCCAAGGGACCCAGGTGTTTACCCACTACTGGGCCACAGCCCCACCACTGACTGGTGGCCCCACAGCCTGTGGCAAGCAGTTTCTAAGGGCCAGTGGAGGATGCAGGCCTGAGTCCAGAGCATGACTTTGGAGCGATGTTTGGTTTGGAACCAGCCTGAGGCCCACAGAGGGTGGGAGGGCTAAGGGGGTTTCAGGCTCCCGCTAGCAATGTGCAGCAACACAGGGTGGCCGCCCCACGCCCAAGCCTAGCTGGCCCAGTGGACCTCTGGCCTGCTCCTGTCCCCCATGAAGGAGCCGTAATGAGCTTCTACAAATGACCTCGCACTGGCACCCCAGCTCCAGCTGCCCTGTCCTGATGACACAGAGTGACACACAGCATGGGAAGGCCTCCTGGCTGAGTGGCCTCTGGGACCACATGTACTATGTTAGACCCTGCTCCCACGCCACCCAAAGCCCAGAAGCCAGTGCTGGAGGGGAGGGCACAAGCCCTCCTCAGCACAGGGAGGCACTGCCTGCCTCCAGCCTCAGCTGATGAACCTCTTGGGGAGTAAACTCACCCCTTGGGAAAAGGAGGACAGAAAGCAAACCGAGGCAAGTAGGGCACAGCATTCTTGGGAGCAATGCCCATGCTGCCATCCCAGGAAAGAGGTGTGCATGGCCGGGAGCCTGGTGGACGCCAGGGCAGCAGGAGGGGTCGGGTCCAGCCTGTCCAGGCCAGCAAGGACGAGGGGCGGGTCTATATACAGGACACGGTGGGGGCCGTCTGCTTGCGCACACGGCGAGCTCGGCTGAAATCACAGTATTTTCATGTTACAAAGGGACGACTCCCTTAGGTTGTCTTATTTCTGAAAGTCTTGGCAATTCAGGAGTAAGCGGTAGAAAAATGATATTGAGAAGTCGGAAAAAAAAACCTATCACAAGCCCCCTGTGCAGGCCTGGGACAGTGAGACCACTCGAGAACACAGGGCTGCTCCAGCCTGGCCCCACGCCCTGGCACAATGTCACCTGTGCCCTTGCTGTGGGACACTTACAGGGCGATGTCCCCCCTCGCCTGCCTGTTTGCACCGAGAACCTGGAAAAACAGAGGGTAGTGGCCAGACAGATGGGAAGGGGGGCTGCTGGGCTCCCTGTGGGGTCGCCTACCCGCGCCTGTTTGAAAATGGCATCCAGGTGGGTTGCATGTCATTTTATTAAGGCCATTTTTTAAAAAGTTCTACATACAGGTCTAATGGTAACCAAACACTATGTACATGTAGTTTTTCTTTTATAAAAGACAAAGTCCCCACTCTTTGCTCGCAGTTTAACCTGCAGTCAGACTGGGCCTGAGACCTGGGAGGGTGGGGAGGGGACGAGGCGCAACAGTGGCTCAGGGGTGACTTTCTCATGCCAGCGGCGCCGGCAGGTGCTCGTGGCACTGGGACAAGGGTTCCCACGGCCCCGCAGAGGGGTGGCTTTGACACCACAAAGAAATATGCCAGCAGGAGGGGTGCCTGGTGGGGCGGGGCTGCCGGAGCAGCAGGGGCCAACTGGGCAGAAGGCCAGAACTCCGGCAGAAGCCATGCCTGTGTCACCGGCCCCTTCTCACCCTGGCCTCTATGGAAAGGCCCTGCTTCAGTACCTGACCAGCTGCCACAGAAATGCAGGCCCCTCAACCCCCACCTCTAGCTCATCCTGGCATAGAGGCCAGAGCATGCGGCCTAGGGACAGCTGCCCGACTGCAGGGACAGGCTGGGCTGTGAGAGCAGGTGTGGAAGGAAGCGCAGCCCTTTCTGGCTCCTGCGGTTCATCCTTCCTGCCAGCCCCGACACCCGGCCCTGGGTGCTGCTGGTGGTCAAGGCGGTTTAAGGCGCCCGACCTGGGGTCTGCGGGGCACCCGAGGGGTGGGGTACACAATAAAGCCAAGGCCACTCCCCAGAAGTCTGCCACATGGCCTCAGTAATGAAGGGCCTGGGCCACCAAGGGTCTTGACAAAGTCCATGCTTGTCCCCACCAGCCTGGAAGGAAGCAGCTCTTTCATTTTTAAGGAACTTGGGAATGAAACGAAAAAGGTCGGGACATGGAGGGGCCTGGGCGCTGGGGTGGCCGTGCACCTGCATTTCCAGTTAGCTTCAGAGATGGGCAGTGGGGGAGCTCGGGAGTAGAAAGACATGCTCTCAGGCAGGCGCTGGCTGGAAGGGTTCAGCTACTCGTCTACAACCCACATGTAACTACAAACCAGAGAAGAAGGAAGGCCTACAGCGAGCATCCCACCCCTTGAATAAACTGCACTCATCTAGCACGTCTGCCACGAGCAGGACAGGGATGACCCCTGCCTCATGGTGGCCCGGGAACCCCTCTAGGGCCTGGGCCCGGATGAAGGTGGCCCCAGAAAGACCTGGCTTGGGGGCCAGGGTGAAGACAGTGGGGGGCACCGCTGCTGAGCACAACCTCCTGCACTGCACGCTCTGCCACAGAAAGACTCGCCATCAAGATAGTGTTTATTTCACTCCTCACCCACCCCCACTCCCCACTGGATACCTGGCCTGGGCCGGGGCAGACGGCGCGCGGGTGTGGGGACCAGGGACCGAGGAAGGCAGTGAGAGCTGAACAACAGTCGGAAAACGCACCTCTGCCCAGACACCCCACCTGCACTGACCGGCTCCCACACGGTTGGCATCTTACAAGGGGCACCTGGGGTTGAGCGCAGGGACCATCCCAGCCTGGCTTGGGCACCGGGCAGCAGCAGGAGGTGGACAACCAGGAGGCGGGCTGGTAGGGGCGCTCAGCGGCATTGCAAGCTCAGAACCACACGCTTGGCCGTTGGCGAGGGATGGAGGCGGCTGTCCCCAGGCTCTGGGAGATGCCGGTGGTGGTGGTGGCTGGGTGCTGGGTGTGGTCACTCACAGTCGATCCATCCGGAAGGTGTCCTCAGTGGCCGGGTCGGCCAGGACCATGTCAGGGTCGTTGAGCATGTGCAGTCCGTCAAGGGTCAGGGGGTCGATCTTGAGTTCGTCCAGGGGGAACTGGCTGTCGGGGTCAAAACCGACGTCGCTGACCCCAGCCAGAGAACTGGTCAGTTCTTTGGAGAGACTTGGGGGTGACTCTCCTGTCACTAGAGGGGGACAAAGGATACAGCTTAGCCTGGGCTTCACCGCACTAGACATGGGCTTTCGTGGCCCTGGTGTGCTCACTTTGGTGGTACTGTCCTCCAGGAGACGCGGCCATGAGTGGGATGTCCTGGCCACCACCACTGGGGGGCGGTGGCAGACAGAGATGCTGTTCAGTGCCTCGGAGGGAGCACAGCGGCTGCCAGCAGCAGCCGAGAGTGGCGTCCAGCACTCCCTCAGTGCCACCCAGCAGGAGCACAGTCACTCTGCTCTACCAGGTGCCCTGGCTCTAGCGTGGTTCTTTGTAGCACTACTGGGGCTGTTTCCAGATCTGGAAATGGCCTGAAAGCCTCCGACTTTCTGAGCTGTCTGCGGCATCTCTGGCCCTGCACCTTCATGGCAGAGCAGGGCACTGGGCTTTCCAGGTGAGCTGGGTCATGGGGTCTCTGAGGATGCTGCTCCTCCCTGGAGACATCTCTGGGGACCACCAGGAGGAGAACCAAGGGGAAGACAGGGAGGGGTGGCCTCTGGACAGCACGGGTCCCTCCTTCCCACCACCGTGCAGGACCAGGCGTCCTGGGCCTGTCCTCAAGCCTGCAGTGAGCCTCATCCCAGCAGGAGGTGGGTGTGGGCTCCTGGCACCTCACCTGTGAGGATGATGTTTGGGATAGCGCTGTGGCCGGCGTAGCCCAGCTGCTGTGCGTCCTGCAGGCTCCCAGGGCTGCCCGCCAGCCCCATCATGGCCACCTGCGAGTAGTTGAGCGTGGAGTTCGGGCTGTATAGGCCGCTGGGGCTCATAGCATTTTCCACCATGTTGAACTGCTCCAGCTGGGGACAGAGGGCACTGGGGTGAGCACCGCCCACTGTGGCTGGCACCACTCTCCCAAGACTCATGGGTGACGGATGATGGGAGAGTGATCCGGCACCCCAAGGCCCAGGCCTGGCCACCATGCAAGGCTGCCACACGGCTCACAGCAGCTCTCCCCGCGTCCGCCCCGCCTCCTTGCCCTGGGCTCTATTCCGCTAGCTGGGCATGGAAGCCAAGGGGCCGAGGCCAGTCATCCCACTGCACCTTGGTTTCTGCAGCCCAAGTAACAGGATTGGGACCAAGGGGGCAAGCAGAGCGCCTGGCAGGTGACTGGTGCGAGAGGCCTGGGTCCTGGCAAGTGCCTATTATGGCACCGGCCGGCGGCCCGGACACCCGCTCACCTGGTGGGACAGAGCATTAGCCTGCCTGGCCGCCATCTGCTGCTCATAGTACACGTCCCCAAACACGCTGCCCAGGGTGGAAGAGTGCTGCAGACAGAAGAGAGCCTGCTGGGGTCCCAGCCCGAGGCCCACGGGGCTGGGACCCTGCTGGATGATGTCTGGACTCAGGAGGCTGAGGTCCATGTCTATCTTGGGCCGCGGCATGCATCCCAATCCTAGATTACTGCTGCTTCCCCCAGCTGTGCCCTGCATCTGGTGCTCCCGGAAGTGCTGCCCCTCATCCCTGCCCTGTAAACCCAAGTGTGGGAGACTGCACACAGGGAAGATGGGGACAGACACAGGTGCCTAACAGCTCTATGGGAGAGCCTGAGGTGTGGCTGTGGCAGAGGACCCCCATGGGACACCCAGGATGGGGTTTGTGCTGGGTGGCCCTAGACTGGTCCCAGGAAGACAGAGGTCAGAGCATAGGCCATGTACGTGGGGACAGGACAAAGCACAGAGCTGGCCACCAGCTGGACAAGTCAGGGAAGGCCAGGCTGTGGGATGAAGGGGTAGAGATGCTGGAACAGGGACTCTAGAGCTTTGCGTGGGGGGTGGCACCCAGAGAGGATAAAGGAGGTGGATCCCCAAGGAAGAAGACCTCAGAAGACAGTCCAGCCTGGGTAGGGACAGGAAGGCCCCATGGGAGCCACCAGCCCTCAGCAGGCCCCAGCTGCTCCTAGTGAGAAGAAAGGCCCAGGACCTCCTTTGCCTGAGCACCTGGCCTGGACTTTGTCTAGAAAAACCCCATGCCCAGGCCTCCCAGAGCTTGGAAGCCAGGCCCTCAGTCCCAGACAAGGGTGGGCTGCAGGCTCAGCAGCCGCCATCAGGCTGGCAGGGGTTGTGGGAGGGCGAGTACTCAGATCAGACACTGACAGAAAGTTAAAGGGACTTGAGAGGAACAGTAAAATGGCAAAAAGCAAAACAAAACAACAAAAAACCTTGTTGCCCTAAAATCCTGCTCTTTCAGGGTGGGGTGTGGTTTGGTGACAAAGTGCTTGCCTGGCATGCACAAGGCCCTGGGTTCCACCCCACACTGTAAAATCCAAACAGCAGCGCCCGATCCAAGCCAGGACACCAGCTCCATTGGGAAGGGTGGGCCCCAGAGGGTCCTGAGCCCTAGGGTGTGCGGCTGGGCCTGGCTGGGATAACGTGACAGCTGGCTGAGGGCAAATGTGGCAGGTGGAACAGGCGCAGGGAGCTGGCCAGGTTACGAGCTCATCCTGGGAGACTGGGCCCAGCCGGGGGCAGGTCTGGCCCCTGCCTGGTGCCTGGGCTGAGGCCCGTCTCTTGTCTCCTGCTGTACTGCCCTCATGACCTATAGCAGACACAGATAGGGCTGATGGGACAGTGACATGCCCTTGCCCACCAGGCAACCAGCCAAGCACGATGGCTCACCCTCTGTGAGGACTCCCACCCCAACCCTGTGCTGTCCAGCCTGCCACACAGGAGTGGCACACACACCCAGGCAAGGGCCCGCGCTGCCCAGCTAGCACCTCCACCCTGCCCCTGGTGGCACTACACACAGAGGCAAATGAAGCACTCACAGCATGCAGGGGCCTGGGGGGCAGAGCCAGCTGACCCCAGCTGCCCTCCCCTCCTCACTGCAGGGCTGCAGGAGGCACATGGTCCTGGGACCCTGCAGACCCAGAGACAGCCGGCAAGGCCCCTGGCTTTGGCGCTCCACACTCTCCTTCTGGGTGAGGACAAGGCCCCAAGGGCTGCTCAGATGAGCTTCCGGGGCAAGGGCCCCTTGGCCAGTGGAGGAGAGGCAGGTGGCTGGGCTGGCGTGGCCCTCCTTTAGGAGCAGATGCTGACCTCAGGTGAGTCCTGAGGACAGAGGAGTCATCCCTGAAGCTGAGCTGCTGAGCACGTTGCCCAGGTATGGTCACCTATGCCAATCTTCTGTGTCACTGATCTGAGAGAAGCCCCTGCCACCCCTGGCTGGCAGCATTCTCAGAGACCACAAAAGCCGATGGGAAGGCGACCACTTCCAGGAAAGGGCTCTGTGTGAGTGCTCTCCTCTCCGAGCCCCGGCCACCCTCACCAGGCCACAGCCCCAGCAACCCGCCGAGTACACACCAGCCGCCCAGGGGAGGGTGGATGTGGGCAGAAGGATGTCCACAGCAGCTGAGCATCAGCAGGCAGCACAGTGGGCAGGGCAGGTGCTGGAGGAGGGAGTGGGAGGGACAGGCACTGGGGAGCAGTGGGAGGGGCATGGGGAAGGGCAGGCACTGGGGAGCAGTGGGAGGGGCATGGGGAAGGGCAGGCACTGGGGAGCAGTGGGAGGGGCATGGGGGGTGGGTACTGGGGGAGCAGTGGGAGGGGCATGGGGGGCAGCTACTGGGGAGCAGTGGGAGGGGCATGGGGGCAGGTGGAGGGTGCCCAGTGCATGAAGTAGGGCTCTTACTTGCGGAGAGCTCCCTGGAGAAAAGCCTTGATTGGAGACCGGCGAGGTGGGAGACTGGTTAGCCGGGGAACCAGCGCTGGTGCGGTACTGCTGCAGAGCTGGCGCCTGCGATGACGGACAGGTCAGGCCGGGAGGGCCACTGGGCCCCCCAGTTGCCTCCACCCTGGCGCCTGGTGTCTTGCCTTGCTTGTGCTACAACAGCTCCTGCAGGCACCCTCATCAAGGATGCCACGATGCCAGTGCAGCTCCCAGGTGGCTGAAGAACCCAGGCAGCTCGCAGCCCTGCATGAGCCTGAGCTTCGCAAACAGGGCCTGGGGGGTCGCCACGGAGCTCTCAAAAGTGGGGGCAACCTAGCTCAGCACATCTGGGGCCCGGTGGCACCATACAGGCTCACCCACTGACGCAGTCACCCAGACACAACGCACAAACACACACACCCTCAAACTCATATGCACATACATCCACACATGTAAACCCACACGTGCATGGCACACCCATGTACAGACTTATGTATGCATACCTACAAAGATACATGTAGCCTCATGTGTGCATATACCCACTTGTGCACTCAGGACACGCACACATGTGCAAATGGGTGCACACCACACGTACACACTCCTGCACCTGAGCAACATACTCCCACTTGCACCCACATGTGCACACTGGCAGCCGCAGCCTCCTGACTCCCCCTCGCTCAGTGCCTGGCAGATTTCAGCCCTCTGAGCCCCAGGACTGCAGTGACAAGGCTGGTACTCCTCAGAGGGTAGTCACAGAGGCAGCCACCACTGCAGGAGTCGTGGGCCCAGCTGCGACGTGGGAGGGTACCCAAGCTTGAGCCCTGGGAAGGCAGCAAGGCCAGGCTAGGACCTGAGCTCGCCCCTGCTGCCCTCTAATGGCTGTGGCCTTGGGGGCCTTCCTGAGGAGTCTGGAGGTGGGAGTGGGGTGTGGGTGATGCAGGGGCTGGCACAGTCACTCGGGGATGACAAGGTTGGCTAAAGAATTTTTATTGGGGGCAGGGGTCCCACAGAGGCTGAACCAGCTTGTGCCCTGGGGAAGCTGCAGTCCTAGGAGGGTGAGTCTCTGGAGCCCTAGGTGGACACCATGTGTGCAGTGTCACCCACTTCCAGGCCAACCTAGACACTAGCTGGGTCCTCCAGTCTGGGGACCTGGGTGGGTCAGAGTCCCTGCAGCCAGTACCAGGGAGGGGCCTGTTTTCTGCAAAGCACCTGGTCACGGGAACCCTGGGGCTGGCACCCAGGCTAAGTGGTATGCTTGCTGTACTCTGGCATGACCAGGATGCTTTTCCCATCATCTGGAAGGTCCTGGAGTCCAGGAGCTAACAGCACCAAAGCCCCTGCTCAGCTGACGTGAGCCAGGGAACCTTGCCACTTGTGTCATAGAGCATCCTTCACAGGCCTCGTCCCTCCTTCACCTGTCCCCAGCTTCCAGAATACTCTTCCCAAGCCTGGGAGCTGCAGGGGCACCTGGGGGGACTCTAGGCCAGCGACCCTTGCCTGCCTGGTTCCCCACCTATGCATGGAGTGACAGCCTCAGATTGGCTTCTACTGGGACCCCAGAATCCTCCTCAGCAAGCCCCCCTCTGGCTTCCACTGGGACCCCAGAATCCTCTGCAGGTACCCCCTCCCCTGGGCCCATCACAGGCTCACCGCGGTAATGTCGATCCCCATCGATGGCTGGCCAGGATTCTCTGGGGGGGACTGAGGGAGAGAGGATGGCATGGTGACCGCAAGTGGGGGCAGCTGTGGCCCCCGTGTCAGGCTGGCACTAGGCATCAGAGGGCCACCAGGGGGGAGGCCAAGGGGCACCTGCGGGGGCTGCGGCTGCTGGGAGGCAGGAGGCGGGGGTGGCGCAGGCTGGGGCTGTGGGGGTGGAGGCTGTTGGGAGCCCGCCTGGGTGAAGAAGGCGTAGGGCAGCTGTTGCTCCAGCGACAGGGCATCCATGGCCACCGCCTGTGGAGGGAGAAGGCATCAGGCGGGGCACACTGGCCCCTGGAGTGCTGGGCAGGGGCAGGTGGAGGAGCCCAGGCCAAGCCTTAGGACACCCTGCAGAGCATGTGGCAATGGAAACTATCTCAGGTCAGAGCCGCCCAGGCCGGAAGAGCTGAGCCAAGGGAAGGCAGGATGCCCACCCAGTATGCAGACCTGTTTTGGGGCAGGCGGGGTCCCTCACTCCCTATAATGCTGGATGGGAAGCCTGGCCTCCCAAAAGCAGAGGGGACTTGGTGAACAAAAGACTTGCTGGCCAGGAGTTGAGCTGCACTCCTGTCACCTCAGCCATGTGGGAGGCTGAGGCGGGAGGATGAAAAATTCAGCGCCAGCCTGGGTAACTTAGTGGCACAGTGAGACCCAGTCTGAAATATGAACAGGCCTGGTATACAGCTCAGGGTACAGCACTCACCTAATGTGTGCGAGGCCTTTGGTTGAAATAAATACTCTTATTTTTAAATGGAGTTTCCAGAAAGGAAAGAGGCAGGAGGCAGGGTGGACAGCAGCCAGCCCAGGCAGACTGCAGACGCAGCTGCAGGAGCCCCCACACTGCATGGTGGGGCTCGGGGCTCCCAAGTAGGAAGAGACAGGAACAAGGGCAGGGGGCAGGCCTGGCCTCAGAAGGGTCCAGGAATTCCTACTGCTGCTTTGGTGGTAGACAGGCCACACCTTGGCGTTAAGGTTAAAAAATAAAACAATGCATGTTCCCTATTCGGGATTTTAAAGTATAAATAGTGGCTAGGGCGTGGCTCCCAGGTGGAGCCCTTGTCTAGCATGGGTGAGGACCTCAGTTCCATCCTGGGTTGGAAAAAAGGGAGACAGAGACACAGGAGGAGGGAGGAGGAGGAGAAGGGACAAAGAACAAACTGCTTGAAACACTTAAATTACAAAAGCTCAACAAAGAAGAAAGAGAAACCGGCAACAGCCTTAGGAGACCGGAGCTGGGAGATGGCTCAGAGGCATAAGTGCCTGCCTGGCAAGTGCAAGGGCCTGAGTTTGATCCCAGAACCAATAGACAGACAGGGGCCGGGAGAGGGCTCAGTGGAATAAGTGCTTCCCTGGCAAGCACAAGGGCCTGAGTTCAATCCCCGGTTCCGAGAAAAAAAAAAATTACAATAGACAGACAGCCGACAGATGAACGGACAGAAGGACACTACATCAGCATAAAAAAAAAAAAAAAAAAACCCTCCCAACAGATTGGGTGAATTCCTTGGTAAATTTTACCCAAGATTTAAAAAAATTTTTTTTTTTTTATTTATGTGTGTGTGGGTGTGTGTGTGTGTGTGGCCAGCTCAGCCCACCAGGGGGCGGGGCTGGCTGGCATGTGGTGCTGGGGGATTGAACCGCGGTCCCTGTGCTTTGCTAAGCTTGTTCTAAGTAGGTGCGTTAGACCACTGAGCCATCTCAAGCCCAAGAACTGAGCTAGGGCTGGGCCCCCCCAAGATTTCAAAGAGAAACTGAAATGCATTTTCCAAGCAACAGGAAAGAAACCAATTCTGAACTGGTTCTGCAAGGTGGGCGACTTGTGTGATCAACTGGGGTTGGGCACAAGGCAGGGGCTTCGCGTCCCATCCACTTCCCAGGGCCAAGAGGGCGGAGGAAGCAACATGAGCTGTTGTGAGCCGCTCTGTGCCAGCAGGCAGGAAGGCGAGAGCAGAGGGCCAAATGCACATCAACACTCAAAAAAAAAAAAAAAAAAAAAAAAAAAAAAAAAAAAAAAAAAAACCGGAAAAAAAAAAGTTAAAAATACAAAAACCATAATCCTAGCACTCTGGAGGCTGAAGCAGCAGCATTTCCATGGAGTTGGAGGCCACCTCAACTACACCTAGCTTCTGCCTCGAAACATCAAAAAATGAAAATAAAAACCAAACTCTAGTATTTTATTATGAAAACTTTCAATTACCAGACCAAAAGCAAAAGTGGCAAAGTGAGAAACACTTGCTCATACGGGGCCTTCACCAAGGACACTGGCCCTGCTGGAAACAGGCACCCTCCATGTCACCGAGCTCGGCATTTTCTGTGAGACTGAAGATCTGATGGTAAGAAGCAAACTCAAGGGATGTTCTCAGCACCCTATGACCCCATCTTCCCACTCCCTTGCCCTCGTACCTGTGTGATGGGCGACACCTGCTGGGCCTGCTGCCGCCTTGCCTCTGTGCCCAGGGCCAGGGGGCTGACTCCAGCTGGTCGGTGTTGCGGAGACGAGCCCGGTGTGCTCACCCCTGGAGAGAAAGATGGGAGGCAGAGGGAGGCTAAGGAGACGCCGCTGCGGCCGCGCCTGTGGGCGCTGCAGGGAGGGCCGGCCCTACTGGTCCGGGGTAGCCCTCCAGGCCCAGCCCTGACAGCCCTGGCTCAGGGTGCAGATCCTTCCCGCAGGCCCCCATCCGGGTGTTCCTGCTGGCCCAGCCAAGCAGCATGTCTCCCTTCAGGACTAGCAACTGTCCCTCCATAACCAGGCTTGGTCAATGAGAGCCTGCCTCAGGTCTTGGGAGGGAATTCCAGGAAGGGCTGGCTGCGGAGTGTGGGAGACATCAGGAGTGGGCTGGGGAGCTCGCAGAGACAGGTGGCACCTGGCCTCCGCCCAGCCACCCCAGCACTCTGGCTTTGGGCAGTTACGCATCCTCTTTGCTGCTTAACCAGGCTTGCGTTGCCCTTAGCATTGAACAAGTCCACTGGGCGTTGATGCAACTCCAACAGCCTCGTGGCCTCCAACAGCCTCGTGGCCAACCAGATGCTTTTCTGGATGGACTGTCTCCTACTGCAGCTCTAAGCGCCCTGTGGCCCTCATCCGGGCCTCCCTCGCACACCTCACGCACTCCAGCCCCTTCACTCTTCCCTCCCTGCCGCACACAGGCTCTGCCTGGGCTTCTCACTGCCCCTTCCCTCACCCTGAGCAATCTGATTCCTGGATCCAGGGTGGTGAGGGAGGCTGGTGAGATCAGGCACAGAGCTGTAGTTGGGGCCTGCTGGGGGACCCTGGGGCACTGTGCCAGCCAAGGAGCAGGCCCCTGTGATGACATGGGGAGCCCTGAGGGCCCAGTATGACCCCCAATCAACCCTGAGCCTTGGCTGCAAAGATGACAGCACCCTGTGGGGTTTACCACGCAGCCAGTGAGGTCATGAACAGGCCCTGAAGAGGGGTTGGCCTGCAGCCAAGGCTGGGTGCAGCCACCTGACTCACCAGGGAGATCCGGGCCCGTCCTGCCGTGGGCACCAGACCAGCCCTGTTCCGGCAGATGGCACGGCAAGGTTACGAGCCTGTGGGAACACACCCAGAGTGTACAGGGGAGAGTGTTGCTGTCGCCTATGCCCCAGGCAGCTGCTCCACGGGGCAAGCCCTGTCACAACTGCACTTCCCTTCCTCTGCTGCAGCGCCTGGGGGCCAGACCTGGGCCCCTCTGCAGGCCTCAGTGCCTACAGACCACAGGACGCCTAGCACAAGTCCAGAGCGGATGCCAGACAAAAGGGCAGAAGCAAAAGCTGAGTATGGGGTCCACAGGGGCCAATGAGCTCAGTGGCCTGTCCTGGGGTGTGGGGCACTGGTCCCAGGCCACTGGGTCTGCTGACGTCATCTTCCCCAGGGACTCACATATGCTAGGCAAGTGCTCTATACTGTGCTATACCCCAGCCCTTTAAATAAGTTCTTTTTCCTTTTGGTTTTTTTGAGACAGAGTCTGCCTACGTAGCCCAGGCTTGCCTTGAACTTGTAGTGAGCCTCCTGCTTCGGCCTGCCCAGTGCTGGGGTCATAGGCATGAGCCAATACACCCTACAAATTCTCTTTTGGGACAGTGCGGTCATGTTGCCCAGGGTGACCTCAAGTTTCCCATTCTTGTGCCTCAGCCTCCCAGGAGCTGGGGCTACAGGCGCACATCGCGATGCCTGGCTCCCTCCTGACCTTAGGGCTCTACCTGCATTTTCCTGATTTTTAAATGTCAATCTGAAGTGTCCCATGCACTCTTGCACAAATATACCAACATGCGCATGGGCTACATGAACGCACAGCGAGCGGGCCTGGCCCTCGGCCTGCCACTCCACAGCGCCTGTCCTCAGCACAAGGGTGCTCCGTGCCCATGCTGGGTTTTCGGGCACATGCCCAACCTCACCACCCTTGTGGCCAGCTGGGCCAGCAGGGCGGTCGGGATACCTGGATACCTTACTGTAGGGCCCTTTTCGCAAACTAGGTCACCTTTGGACCAGGAGTGCGGCCAGCTGGAAGGGAAGTCTGTGGCGGGCGGGCAGGCAGGTGGGCCGGCAGGGACAACAGCCAGGAGGGCAGGTGGGTGGGCCAGGCGGCAGGGGCCCGCCCCATGGCATGCGAGCCCTGCTGGTGGGGCCGGCTGGCCTCGGAGCTGGGCCAGGCGGGACATGGGGGCCTGCCCTGCTCCTGCACACTGTGAGCTGCCAGAGACACAGCCCAGGTAAACGCAAAGGAAGCAGCAGGGCAAGTCTCCAGGCCCCTTCCTCCTCCTGGGGTGGCAGAGGGAAATGAGAAGGGGCCGTGGCTTGGTCTGACCTAAAAGGCACCCAGAAAGCAAGACCACTGCTGGGGAGCAGCAGGGTCACAGGGCCACACGTGTTAGGCCAGCCAGGCCCCCGGGCCCCAGGCTGTGTCCCCACCTGCAGTGCAGGTCCCTCCGAGCTTGTTCAGCCCCTGTGGGCTGGGGGGTCCACAGAGTGGGCCCTCGAGAGGCTCCTACATGGCTGTATGACAGTACTTCTGTTCGGCCGGATGGCGACACCAGTGGCTGAGGCTGCCTGTGGGCTTCTCATGTCCACCCTATGTGGCAGAAGGTGTCCGCCCGGCCAGGGGATGGTACATCTGGGATTACCCTGAACCTGCACCTCCCTTCTCCAGTGTCTCCTGTGCCCTCTGCCTGGCAGTGGAGCCCTGGCAGCCACCAGGTCAGGGTGTGGAAGGACAGCACCGGTGCCCTGGGGCCAGCCCTGCTCTCCTCTTCAGTTCTGGCCTCACCCCTCGGATGCCAGCCCAGGGCAGGGGCTGGTGCGGCTCGGGCCTGAGCATGAGCCCAGTGCACAGGAAGCATCCATGCCACCTCTACCCTGACCTCATGCCCACCTCCTGCCCCATTGGCACCACAGTGACCAGGTCCCTGTCTACTCCACCCCTGGCCACACTGATGTCTCTGCAAAGCTCCCACACCAACTCCTGGCCCTGCCCGAGAGTGGCAGGGTAAGCCTGAGCCTGGCACCCTCAGGAAAGCCCATAGTGCTGCCTACAGAGCAGACATGGATACAGCAGCAGTGGGCAAGTGCACAGGGAGAGCCAGTTTCACCCCAGGCCTGGCCTGTCCCATCCCCTAGGGCTGGTTGAGCCACTGCTGTCCTCTGTCTGCTGCTCCAAGAATGCAAACCCATGCCCCACAAAAGAGTGCACTGGGGTGCAGGCAGATAGCATGGACAGGAAAACCGAGGCTCAGCCCAGGCAGCGGATGAGGAACAGAGGAACAGTGGTGCCACGGGTGAACACGGAGCAATGGCGGTGAGGTGGGGACAGCCAAAGGCCAGAACTGCAGGTCTGGGCGGCAGGTGCAAAGTCCCAAGCTCATGGTCCAGCCACGGTGCTAGAAGTTGAGAGGCAGGGTCAGGATAGCCCAGGCCCAGCCCTGGCAGTCTTGGGCTTTCGTGGGGAGGAGACGGGGAACCATGCCAGGCCACACTCAGGAAAGACAGGTGAGCTGGGCTACGTCGGGACCTAAGGGTGGGGCTGAAAGGTCCTGCCTGTGATACACAGGGGAAGATGGGGAAGGTGGGGAAGCTCTCCCATCCTTGGTGGAGCCACCAGAGTCCTCAGGAAGACAGGACAAGCACCCCAGGCTGACCCCACAGACCAGGCAAGGCAGGTAAAGCTCAGGAGGTGCCAGGCCACGGTGCACAGGCGGGCAGTGAGCTGCCAGTCAGAACCCATGAGGGGTTGCAAAGAGGCAGTCTGCTGGCCCCAGGGCCCTCCAGGGTATCCCAGCTTCCCCAGAAGCCACCTGGAGTGCCCACACCCCACAAACCCCAGACGCATCTCTGCCCATTCAGGCCCACCCCACAGGATGATGTAGCCCGATGGCCTCACCCTGGCCGGCGCCACCAAGGCCCAGGTGGGTCAGGTTGCCTGCCAGGTTGCCAGTACTGCTGGAGCCACTGAGTGTGGGGAATGGGGGCTCCTCGGGATCCAGCGGGGTCGGCAGCGGGGATGGAAAGTGGATGTTGGTCAGGTCAGGCAGGGAGCCCCCTGTGTTGTGGGTTGCGGGGATCAACGCCGTCGTACTCTCCTGGTCGGTAGATGGGAAGATGCTGGGGAGAGGCCAGATGGGCAGGGTGAGCTCAGGGCTCAGGGCTGCCCCAGAAGCCGGGGGAGGGAGGGTGAGGGTGCATGAGGAGGGCCTGGCCGCCAGACGGGCAGGACTTACTTGATGCCTGGGACCTCGCAGGACTTGGGCCTGGACCCTGTCTGAAAGAGACGATAGCAAAGGCTGAGAGGTACACTCCAGGGCTGGCCCAATCTGCCCTTCCCGACAGAGGCCAGCTTGCCAGGGATCTGAGGTCTCTCAGTGAACAGTGGTGTCCCCAGGGGGTGGGGTCATCCCGCCTGTGGGGGCTCTAGAAGGAGAGGCATGGGCCAGGAGCCACAGCACCATGAGGGCAGGTATGGGGGAAGTCACAGCAGTCCCTGAGGACCAAGGCCAGGGCTTTGGCTCTGCCACCATTCTTGGTCCTAGGAGAGGCTGCACCTGTTCCCAGCCACGAGGGAGTCCATGAGCAGCTGGCAGTCTCCAGGCGAGGGAAGGACAGGGGGAGGCGCCCCATGCAGCTTGAAGCAGGTGCCCCAGCACAGCCGAGGACGGGCAGATGTGTGACGCCCACACAGGCCCTCACACCCCCTGGGCTTCAGGACAGCTCTCTGCTGGGCCCTGGACGGCAGCCCCGACGCCCCTCCCTGTCCAAGGGGAGGACTCCCCAGCCAGAGTGCATCAGCAGAATCCGCCCTGAAGTGGGAGACACACCTCCATCCCAAGCACCCGGGCCACAGGCTGGGGGGACACACCCAGCCCCTAGTCCCCTAGCTCAGCCAGGGGCAGGCCACCAGACCCTCCGTCCTTGGGGCCGGATGTTCCTGGCCAAGTAAACGCTCCCTCTTTCCCAGGATTTCCACAAAGCCCTGCTGCTGACTTTCTGGAGACAACTCTGAAGAGTGCTCTGCCCTGCCCACCAGCCAGGAGACAGAACGCGACGGTGGAACACAGCAGAAATGCCATATCAGAGGCCCCGCCTGGGTGGGTCCTGCCCTGCTGAGAGGGAGGCCCACAAGCTGGGGCCACAGACCCACCTTCCCGCTACCGGACATTGAACTGGCTTCTGGCTGCATCTGGAGGGCCTGGTGTCTGGTTTTGGCTTGGGGCTTATTAGTGCGCCAGGTGAGCACCCCGCCCTGTCTCGCCAGGTGACAGCATTACTACAGGTCTTCATTTCTTCAGAATTCCTTTATTTCTTTACTTCTGTTGCAGTACTGGGGGCGGAATACAGGGCCTTTATATACAGCTACAGTCCTGGTCCTTTTTTATTTTTCATTCTGACACAGGGTTTTGCTTGGCGGCCGAAGCTGGGCTCAAACTCCAGATCCTCCTGCTTCAGCTTCCTGAACAGCTTGGATTACAGGAATATGCCATGGTCCCCAGCCGAGATGAAGACCTGTGCTGCTGTCCTTGTCACTGTGACGGCTGGACACTGCGTTAGCTGCTCTGTGTGTTTCTATTATTCGTTTAGTACAAGGTCTTGCTATTCAGCTTGGACTGCAGCTCAGACTTGCCGTGATCCTCCTGTCTCAGCCCCCCAGTGCTGGGACTGCAGCATGCACCACCACGCTTGGTTTCGGAGCAGGGCACACCTGGGGTTCCAAGGCCAGCACAGCATATGGCACCAGGGATTGAATCCAGGTACTTGCACTTTCCAGGCATGCACTTAGACTACCGAGCTAGCTCCCCAACCTCTTGGTGTGCTTCTCGCCAGGGAGAGGGCCTAGTGTCACTGAGGCACAGATTGGAATACTCCATTTTGGGCAGTGGCACATCTGAGCAAGGGCCACTCCTTGGGGCGAGGGGAGCCACTGCAGTGTGGCGTTGGCTCGGAAAGAGCCAGGCAACCAGTAGCCCTTACCTTCTTGGCATCCCAGGTCGGCTTGGACAAAGTCTTGTCTGCCTCTGATGTGGCCTCGTCCATCCCTGGGACCGTCAACAGCAAGACTGGGGCGGAGACAGGGACCTTGAGGGCAAAACTTCACCACACAGCCCCCTGTGGAACATGCCTGACTCGCTAGGACTGCAGGAGACCTTATCTTATGGAGACCTCGAAAGGGCTATGAAAGGGTCCACTGATGAGCAAAGACTGGCATCTTATAAAAAACAAGAAGAGCTCTGCACTCAAGGCTGAGGCCCCCAAGGACCGTGGGGCCTACTGCTTCTTGGCCTTTTGGCTAAGGCCAAATGCAGAGCCACAGAGTCCTGAGGCAGCAAGAAGAGCCCCGCCCCACCATGCTGCACCCTCCATCCCAGCTCCACCCCCATTCAGGGTGTCAGGGAACACAAGTCCCAAGCACAGTCCCAGGGCCCCAGGGCCCTATGCTGGGGCACCCACTGGAGGAGACTCAGGCACACCCTTGCTCGTTCCTGGACTCCTGGCCCTCCTCTTGGGACAGGATGCCACTGTCTGTGGTGAGGGTTGCAGGCGCCTCCCACGTGCAGTACTGTGCCAGGCAGGCCCCCCCTCCACGCAGACCTCAGCATGCACCCCTTGCTTGAAGCTAAAGGTCCACCCCTGGCTGCCAAGTCCCCTCCCTGTGGGCTTGCTGCCCTACATCTGCAATAGCTATCTGTATCCCCCCTCCCCCAGCTGCTATGAGACAGTGTCCATTCACAGGAGCATTTTTCTCTGCCCAGAAAACTCCGATGTACTCTTTCAAACCCACCCCCTACCTCTGACGGTGTCCCTGCACCCCTCATCCCATATCACAGGCTGACCCTTTGATGATCTGTCAGCCCATCGGTGGTGGCCTCCCAGAGCACAAAGGCCACCTGCTGGCCCTCCTGACCCCACTGGAGACCCAAGTGCCCTGCCCATACCTCTCTTCTGGTGTGTGTCCTGAGACCCCCCCATGAAGGGCTCCAACTGGGTGGGCGTCATTGTGCTCTGGTGCAGGGCAGAATCAGAGTTGGTCCTGGGAAAGGGAGGCAGATGTGGGGCTGGGCACCGGGCTGGGGTCCCTCTGCCAGTGCCTGGACTGCGGCCCAAACCCAAAGACTCAAGTCCAGAGGACACTGCAGTGGCTGTGCGGGCCTCGGCAAGCAGCCACCCCACCCTCTGGGGCAATGATGCAGGGTGAGGAACGGCAGGGCCCTGCACGGCAGCCCCAGGGAGGCGGCTGTGCCACAGGGCCCCACAGCAGGCACAGGCCCTCATACACACGTCAGCTGTGGCACGAATGGGTGCAAGGCCCAGCCTTGCCCTTAATTCTGTGCTGTCAGAAGGCACAGAGCCAGGCAGCCCACTCCCCGAGCCCCAGCCATGGGGGAGCTGGGAGGCGCTGTGCTCTGGGCCTGTTGGCGGCCACCCAGGATAGCGAGGACAGAGCTGCCCAGGCGGTCCCCAAAACGGCTCCCTGGCTAGGAAAGCCTGTGTTGGGGCGCGGCCGGGAGTTTAAGGAGCACAGGACACCTGATGGGGATGCAGTGACCAGAAAGGAACCTGGTGCAAGGCCAAAGGTCATAAGGACCCTGGCCCTGAACTACGCCCCTGCGGGTCCCTGCAGGTCCCTGCAGGTCCTGAGCCAGTGTCAGAGCTCCCTGCCCAGCTCCCTCCTTGCCTCCTGGCCTCCTTTCGTGCATGTGTGCATGTGGGGACTCCAAGGCCTGCGCTCAGAGCTGCACCAGCCGCTCTTATTCTGAGACAGGTGTGCACGAGTCACTGAGCTCCCAGGGGACTGCACTGGACCTTGCAATCCTCCCGCCCCAGCCACAGCGCCAGGCCACAGGGGTGTGCCCCCGTGCTCAACCATTTCGATCTTTCCTGATGACAGCAACAATGAGGGCTCCTTTCCTTCTGACAGATATAGTTGTGTATTTTCCTAGTTTTCCATCATTGATATAGAACACACTATAATTTTTCAGTGACTATTTAGCAACATATAACGAACCCACAACATAGCATTAAGTTAGAAGTGAGCAGCTTCGGGGGCACGGTGCCTGCCTGGCAAGTGCAAGATCATGAGTTGGAGTCCTGGTGTCACACACACAAAAAGGAGCAGCTGGGCCTGGTGAAGCGGCCTCTTGTCCCAGCTACTGAGGAGGCTGAGGCCAGAGAATCACTGGGGTGCAGGACTCTAAGAGCCCTTTCACAAAATAAAATGTAAAAGAATAAATAAAAATGACATGGAACATCCAATTTTGGTTGAGGAAAAAAGCAGCAGAAAAAATTAAGTCATAAGTAAGTGGAAGAGGGCTGGTGAGATGGCTCAGTGGTCTAAAGCACCTACTTAGAACAAGCTAAGCTAAGCAAAGCACAGGGACCGCGGTTTAATCCCCCAGCACCACATGCCAGACAGCCCCACCCCCTGGTGGGCTGAGCTGGCCACACACACACACACACACACACACAAAATTAATTAATTAAAAAAAAAAAAAAAAGTAAGTGGAAGGGCCTGCCAAATAGCTCAGAGGATTAAAGCGCCTGCGCGCCAGCACTGCCCCGGGGGCACACTGAACCAGTGATTGAGACTGGGCATGGTGGTGCGCGCCAGTAATCTCAGCTCTTGGGAGGCTGTAAACAGGTGGATCACTACGAGTCTGATCTAGTAGTGAGACCCTGAGCACCTGGCAGACCCTTCCCTAAAATACAGAACAACAACAAAAAGTAAGTGGAGACTCTGAAGACTCTCCAGGCTGTGACCTCGGTGTGGCGGGAGGGCCCACTTCCAGCAACTCCCAGTTGTGCTGAGTGTGTGGCTCTGAACGGCGGCGCCTGCTTGGCACACGCACTCGGAGGACACAGCAGGCAGCCTGACACTGACCTCCTCCAGCTGCTGTCCGAGGGGGGCGAGAGGTACACGGTGCCATACGGGCAGCTGTCAGCGTGTGAGGAGTTAAGGGGACTCAGCTGTCACCTCAGACCCATTCAGACGGCACCCGCGCCTTGCTCCTGGCCAGGGCAGGAAGCCCACAGGCCCTAGACTGCACTGCGGGGCTGAGGCAGGACTTCCTGCCTGCCTTCATGCTGATCCAGGGCACCCTATGACCACCCCCGAGCACAGACCCCTCACACATGCGCGCCCAGGTGTGGCAGGAATGGGGCTCAAGGCCCAGCCTTGCCCTTAATTCTGTGCTGTCAGAAGGCACCAATTCCTCCAGGAAGTCCTCCCAGGTTGGCCTGATTCCAGCCCTGGAGCTGGCAGAAGCTGGCAGTGGGCAGCTAAACCACAGCCTAGTAGGCAAACTCAGGGTACAGCTGCCACTGGGGCCTAGGCTCCAAGGGGCTCCATCCTGGGAAAGGATATCTGCCGTCCATGCTTGTCCACCGACAGGGGCCGGCGGTGTGGGGACCCGAGGCGGCCACGCTCACGGTACACTCTGTCCACCAGCCCATGGTGTCGGGTAGTCCGGCTGGTGTCCAGGCCCGAGGACTGGAAGGGCGTCTGAGGACGAGGAAGGGATGGAGACACAGGGCGGGAGGAGAGGGAGGGGGAGAGAGAGATACGGAGGCAATGGTTACAGAGTGCAGCTTGGGCTGCCCTAGTCCCCTGATTGGATCTCAGGGACCCCGCTCCAATACCCTAGATGCCACGCTGCGGCCAAGATGGCCTCCTCCTGCGGCCTCAGCCCCCAACCCTGAGCACAAGAACGGGGCACATGAGCCAGTGGGGGGTCCCAGGCTAGGGACACAGGCGAGCGGCACAGCTGGCATGCACGGCCAGGCAGAGCGGCACAAGCTCAGGGCCTAGCACCGGCCGGGTGCCAGGTTGCAACGGCTGAGCAGCCCATGGCCAGGTGCACACAGGCCTCCCCACACCTGACCCTTGAAGGGTTGCCAAGACAGGGCCAGGCTTCCGGCAGAGCCAGCTGCAGGGCTGGCCTGGCCAGGCACGCACTCTGGGCTCCGGGCACCGTCCTGGGCTGCCCTCCCCCACACTCATCCAGGCCTGCCAGAGCCAAGGCAGGCCCTGGCTGGACGGGACTTCCTTCCGGCACCCAAGCCGCCTGAAACCTGTGCTCTGCCCGTCCTGGCCCTGCACTGCCACCTGACCAGGCGAGATCTGCTGCCTCTGCCAGCTCCGGATGGGGTGGGGTGCCTGCCTGGCCATCTGGTCCCTGGACCCTGTCTTGTGCAGGCAGCGGGCACAGGGCGAGGCTGACATGAGAGAAGCCTCACTCGCAGAGGTACCCACAGCAGGGATCCTGGGGGCCCACTTGCCCCAGGGTCCAGCTGGACCCAGGAAGGACCGCTGCAATGGGTATTCCAGCACTGTTGCCCCGAAGGCTGAGAGCCCAGGAGATGGTGACTGAGCAAGGGCAGGGAACCTGCTGGCTCTGAGCAGCACCTAGGCCATGGGTAACCAAGGGACAGAAGCCAGGGGAGAGGAAAGAGCCGCGCAGAGCCTGTGGCCTGCTCTGGGCTCTGTGCACACGCATGTGCAGAGGGGACCATGCAGCACGGGACGCATGCTCGGATCCCACTTGGTGCACCCTAGACTGGGAGATGTGGGTGTAGCACTGTGCAGACCCCAAGAGCTTGGGGCCCTGATGCGACCAACATTCTTCCCAAGGTGGGGGATGGGGGATGGGATGCTTCCTTGGGAGCCACAGGGGCAGCCAAGGGGGACTTGAAGACACCCAGTGCCCACGCATTGGGGGTCTCGAGGACTGGCGCCAGGGATACTGTGGCCTCAGCTGGGGGCTCAATTACCAGAGAGACAGGAGCCGCCGCCAGGGCCTCCCCCAGAAATCCGCTGGGCTGAAAATGCAAGAACCAAGACTTTCAGACACCTGGCAGGCGGAATGCATGGGGCCCCCTACTGCGGGCCTCAGGCAGCAGACACCCAGTAGGGCCTGTGTCCCCTTGGCCTGGAAGGGCTCACGCAACTCCCTGTGGGCTGAGGCAAGAGTGCCTGGAGCAAGCCCTTCTAGAGGGGCCAGAGCCCTCTGCGAGACAGATGCAGGAAGGGGAGAGGAGGCCTGGAGTGGTATGAAAACCTCAGGGGAAGTCAAGGTAACACGTAGTCTCAAAGTCTGTACCCCTGGGGTATACCCCACCCTTCCCACAGCAGGTGGAGGGGCTGCTGTGACTCAGGGCGCAGGAGGGACAGCCTGGTCCCCTTGGCCCTCATGGCCTCAGCTATCTGCAGGCTGAGTCCCATCACCAGGGCAGCTGGCCCTGTGGACACCGGGGCCTGTGGGCCAGGACAGGGAGAGGCCTGGCCCACCTTGCTCGGGTGAGTTCTGGTAAGGCAGAGCGGAGCCACACCCTGGTCTGTCCAGAGGGTCCTGCCCCAATAGTGGGGCCAGGCAGCTGGGCCTTCCCCTGAGAAGCAAGGGGCTTACAGCTTCTGCAGCCAGAGCCTAGGCTGCTGTTTCCTAGGGTGGGGCCAGGGATGGCAGAGTTCAGGGAGGCCACTGCAAGTCCAGCTCACCTGGAAGGGCAGATCTGCAGCGCTGCTCCCGATCTGGTTTACGTTGGGCAAGGACCCACCATAGTACTGGCCGCGGCTCGGGCCCAGCTGCAGGTACTGAGACTTCTGAAGCTGCAGCTGCAAAAGAGAGGCAACGGCTGTGGTGAAGGTGCCACAGCAGACACCCGAGGGAGCGCGGACCCCAAATGTGGCTGGCTGCAAGCTATGCAAGAGGACATCAGGCCCGGGTCTCACCCCAGCCGATGGCTCTGTGTGGACCCAGGAGAAACCATCCTTCCTCCAGCTAGAACCAGGGTAGAAGCCCAGCGCAGACACACAGGGCCAGATGCCCGGGACCCCAGGGACCTACCTGAGCCCCCATGTCCCCACAGCTCCTACCAGGCGGCACCGCTGCTCAAGCTGGGCCTGCAGTTCTCCACATGCCCTGCTCCTTGGAGTGGCCCTGCAGATGTGTGGGCACCCTGAAAGGCCGTGTGTGGCCCTCGGGCAGGAGGGACCGCCACACTGCAGAGGAATGACCAGTAGGTCTGCACTGTGTCCCCCCACATGCAGCCCCTCGTGCCAACCTGGCTGTGGGGTGGGAAGAGCCCCGGGAATTGGGCAGATGCCAGGAGCCCCAGCAGCATGTCAAAGCCCAGGTAGATGCTGTTTCCTGTAGGCCAGGTGGACCAGAGCAGGTGGCTGCCATTAGAAAGAGAGCACCCTCCCCTACTGGACCTGGCGGGGGGGGGGAGGTGCTGCCCCTCCCGGATAGGGGTCCCTCAGGACTGTCCACATCCTCCTCGCATCCCAGCTTCATGCAGCAGGCTGCCCTGCAGCCACCTCCCGTGGGCCCTGGGGCCAGAGGCCCTTCGTGCTGCACTTTCCCTCTCCCTAGCAGAAGTGGCATAGGCAAATGCAGCGCAGGGGGGCGGGAAGGAAGGGCTCCTGCAGCATGGGTCCAACTTTGTTTCTGAGACTGGGTCTTGCCGCATAGTTCAGGCTGGCATTAGGCTCCTGAGTGCTGGGATACCAGGCAAGCACCATGACCCCTGGCAAGTACTGCACACTTCTGCACAGAGAAACTGCCTGCTGCCAGGCCCCAGGGCAAGAGCACCTTGACGTCACTCCATGTCACAACCAAAAGAAGGGTCACAGTGTCCCTGATCCTTGAGCCATAGTAAATGGTTTGTGCCGGCCATGACTCAGGGGAGGCCATGGCCAGGAACACAGGCCAACAGAGATGGGCCAGGTGCAGTGCAGGCAGCAGTCCTGGGCCGTCACACCCTGCACATCCTCACAGCGCAAGCAGCGCCACAGTCTACTGGGAGGGGGCACCTGGAGGCCCACCTGGCCTCTGCTGTTTCTGCACCAGGTCCTTCACTGGTATAGACTGCAGCTAAGTCCCAACCATGACTGTCAGACCTGAGGGTGGACTGGGGATGCCACCCGGTGGCAGCAGGGCCTTCTTCTCCCTGGGCCTGGATGGGGCCAGCCTGGCCTTGGCCCTGTGACCTTTACTTCAGCCACAGAGTAGCGGGGCAGCACTGCTCTTGGAGCAAGCAGAAGTCTCTTCCCAGGGCCACACCGCTCTGGCCTTCCCCTGGCATCATCATCCTGTCCCCAGACAGAGACCTTGCGAACAGACTGCACAAAGCCTGCAGCCAGCAGCACACTCCTAGAAGAGTGAATGAGGAGCACGGGAGCAGGAGGTGGTGAACAGATAGATGGGAGGCCAGATGACAGACGAACCAAGTACACAAATACTGCAGTCTTCACCCACCAAAGGAGGCACAAAGCAGTAGCTCGGCGGGCAGCAGATGAGGGGCACCTGGGAGGCGTGATGCCCGTGCCCTGGTTTTCACCCCCACAGCCCCATCCATGGGCAGCAACGCCCACCAGGGAGCAGCCCATTCACACTGCATCAGGCCCTGGCTTTGCCACATTCTTTGGCTTTCTGGTACCAGGAATCACACTCAGGACCCTGCACTTGCCAGGCAGCTGCACCACTCAGTCACATGCCTAGCTTCGCCACATTCTGATACCCTTTCCACTGGGGAGTTGTAGGTTTTCAGGAAAACAACAAGGACAGCAGAGAGGGTTCCTCATTACCCCTCACCTGCTTCCCCAAAAGCTCAACTCCTCAGTTCCAGGGATGTTGTCAAAATCATAGCAACAACTTCAGGATGGCATTGATCCTGGCACTCTACGCAGACCCTGGGCCTCTCATGGCCATGACAACGACCTCATCAGAGATGACCTCACTCTGATGCAGTCCTTCTGGATCGAGTCTCAGCCTGCTGATGGCCACTGCATCCAGGGCAGGCCTGCATGGCCACACAGACAGTGGGAGGCGCTGGGCCCATCCTGCCCTGCCCAGCCTCCACCCAGTTGCTGCTGCCCTGGGCCCCCCCAGAACACCAGGCCTGCAGGCTACCGCCACCCTGGGTTTGGGGTCAGAGGAGCTAGAAAGGAAGCACAGCGCCCCATGCAGGCACCTGTGTCTGGGGACTGAGGCTGTGGCCCCCACAGAGGGCAACAGGGTCCCGGCAAAGCCCTGAGAAGCCCATGTTGGCCTCTGGCCCCCCATGCCTAAGCTCCTCGGCCCTGAGCCTCCAGGGTGGCAGTCAGCAGGGACATGAGGTATCTTGGGGCAATCACAGCACCATAAACAATCTGGGGTCACCCAGCCCCAAACCCAGGACTTTAGGCAGCTTCCTCCTGGGTCTGAGGGGTGCCAGGCGTGACCCGGCTTGTGGCAGTAGACTCTGCTCTCCCCTGGCACCAAGTGGCCTTCTCTGGGCTCAACCTCCCTCCCCTTCTGCAGTAGCAGCTCAGTGCTCTGTCATGAGCCAGAACTCCCACTTGCCAGCGCCATCAGCAGGAAGCGACCAAGTCCCCGGTTGGAAGCGTGGCTCTGGGTAAACACCAGGCCACTGCGTAGAGGGACCTGAGTGCATGGACTGAGGACGACCCTGCCAGCACCCAGGGACACTGTGGAGGTCTGGCTGCCCTGGCCTAGAGAGAGTGCTCCCAGACACTCCACAGGGGTCCTTGTCCCCAAATGGCCCACTGTCAGGCCCTGGGGGTGAGGGTATGGACATAAAGTTGGAAACACAAGAGACCCACCCAGGCCCTTCAAGGAAAGCATGCTCCACAGCGTAGATGGGTAAACCAAGGCCCAGAAGGACCAGGCTACCCACGCACCTAGACCCCAGTGCGGAACTAGAACTGGAGCCTGTGTGACTGGCAGGCCTGGGACCACACTGGCTCAGGGTCCACTCACTGCCAGCCTCACAAGGAACCCCTCATTTCTGCCAGGGACACCCCCCCCCAAAGCAGCCTGTGCTTACATCCTGGGGCCTGCACAAATCCTTCCACTGCGGCTAGGGAACCCTGCATACAGGGCAGGCTCAAGGCTCCCACTGTACCCCCATGGCACCCACAGGGCAGGCTCAGAGGCTGAGTGGCCCAGTGTGACCACTTCTCCAGCATGAGCAGACACATGGGCAGCCCCCATCTCCTGGGAACCTTGCACAAAACAAGGGGACACCCCTGCCCCCCATCTGCAGATGGAGCTGTCCTTGGGCAGGCCAGGGCTATGGGCAGTCACCATGGCAATGGGCTGGCCTTCTAACGAGATTAAGGGGAGCAGCCAGCTGCCGCTGAGCTCTGCCTGTGCAGGACCAGGCTGCTGAGGGGACGGAGGCAGGGGTGCTCTACACAGGCTGTGCCCTCACTAAGAAGGCCTGTAGGGTCCCCCATTGCCTCTGCCCACCACATTCTAGTACAGGCCTGCGGGCCCCTCCACACCAAGCTACCCCTGCCCCAGGGCCTTTGCACAGGCACTGCCTCTGGTGGGAGACCGTGGCCACCTGGAGCCTTCCTGCTCTGCTCTAGGGCCCTCCGGCTACCCTGCTGCGCCTCAGGGCTGGGGAAGCATGTAGTGTGGCAGAGGGGCTCAGGGTGCGGCTGAGCACAGCAACATCTCTCAGCACACAAAGCCTGGGGACTGCATCCCCTGCACTCCACCACTACCCCACTCCCTCAGCGTCAGGAGGGAAAACTGAGGCTTAAGAAGGGCAGGGGCCAACTGGGTGTGGTGATTCACACCTGTAATCCCAGCACTGGGAAGGCTGAGACAGGAGGATCACCAGGAGTCGGAGCTGCACAGCAAAACTCTATACCAAATAAATAAATAAATAAATAAATAAATAAGAAGGGGAAAAAAAATGGCAGAGGGCAGAGGTGGGGCTTTCCCAGCCTGCAGAGCACACAGGACAGTCAGAAGGGCATACACACCCAGCCTGCAGTCCCAACTCCGTTCCCTGACAGCCCTGAGCACTCCTTAGCTCCAGATGGCGATGGTGCACAGCCCATATTCCAAGCCAAACTCAGCACCCACCCAACTCTGCCAGGGGCCAGTCTACAGCATCCTGCCTCCCTCCAGACTCCAAGGGGTCAGGCACCAGGTGCTGCTAGTAGTGGGGACACAAGAGCCAGACAGAGAGGCAAGGTGCTGCCTTCAGGAGCATGTGGCCCAGTTGGGGATCCAGAGAGCACAGCGAGGCCTCAAGGAGGTGGCACAGGAAAGCACAGCAAGAGGGCAAATGCACAGGTGCTGGGGCTGCGGCGCACAGGCCTGAGGACGTCGCAGTCGCTGAGGGAAGGAAAGCTGCCCTAATCCTCGGAGCCAGCCAGGCTCCTCCTGCAGCCCGTAGTGCCACCTCTGCCCCGCCCCACGATCCAGCGGCACCATCTGCTGCCTGCAGCTAAGGTCTTGGCTTCCACATGAGGCCGGCTCAATGCACCCTGAGCAGGTGCAGCAGGTGCACCTCCACCCGTGCACACCACCTCTGGGAGGGGCTGGGCCAGGAGGGGCCAGGCAGGCATCTGTCCCCTACTCCGCCCCATCTCCCCGGGGATAGGAGTGAAGCCTTGTGCTCCCCACTTTTAGGCATCTGAGCCCTGAGTTTCTGTGTGGCTCTGAGGGTAAAGAAAAGTACAGCACTTGACATGGCCAAGAGGAAGCACGGCGCTCAAAGGCTCAGGCAGGAAGGTCCCAGTGGGAGAAGCCTGGGCTCCCACAGAAGCCATGCTTCAAAATAAAACAACTGAAAGGGGCCAGGATGCAGCTT